TCTTCAACTCATTTATTGAGGTTTGCCCACATTATGGAAGGTAATCTGCTTTACTTAAGGTCAACTGATTTAGTCACATATAACTGCTTTATGACATGCAAAAAACCAAAAACCAAACTCACTGCCACTGAGTCAATTCCAACTCATAGTGACTCCTTTGGGTTTCTGAAAAAGAAGTAGATGTGTGGAGCTGCTGATAGGTTTGACCACCAACCTTCTGGTTAGCAGTCAAATGCCTTAGGCACTAAGCAACCAGAACTTCTTACTTTATGACAGCAACTAGTGTTTTACCAAACAACTGGGCACCATAGCCTAGCCAAGTCAACACATAAAATTAAACATCACAAGTGTCTTGGAATATTGGGAATAAACTATTTACTGATCTAGGTATTGATTACATGGATCTGTTTACTCTGTTAAAATCTGTTGAACTTTACAATTACTATTTATGTTCATTTCTGAATGGATGGTGTAATTTAATAAAAGCTTTTTAAAATGAATTGAAATGGGTAGGAAGATGGAGTTGTACCTATAACCCATATGTTTGTTCCCTCCACCAAATTAATCCCTGAATAACTAGGTAAAGCAGATAGAAATAATGATACTGGAGTTATGAGCAACTATGAATTGGAATTGACTCAATAGCAGTGAGTTTGTTTATTTATTTATTAATTTATTTATTTGAAGGATAAGATAAAGTATCAGATTTAGTGAAGGTGGAGAAAAAGAGCAAATTAAACAACTGGGAAAAATAAATGAACTTGCCTAGCTGGCAGAGATGGAGAGAAGGAGATGGAGAGGACTCATTAGAAATACAAAAGAGGTTGGTGGAGGGAAGGAGGAAAAGAAAGAAAAAAAAAAAATCATGGAACCCACAGGGGCAATGGGGACTCAGAATACTGACACAAGGAGTTTTTAGGGGTGACCTTGGGAACTGAGGGAGTAGATAATCTTACTGGGAAACAGATCAAAACCCCACCTGGTTTGGGCTGTCAGAGTCCAGAAAGGAGTGGGGAAAGGGAGAAACTCCCTCCAAGTAGGCAGAGCCCCAGAGTAAGTGCACAGCAGTGGAGTGGGGTTCAAGTCTTCCACAACCCCTTTTTAGTACAGAGTGGACTGGGGTACTGGGTTTTTGTGGCTTCTTGATCCAAACAGAAAGTAGTGGCCCTCTACCCACTGGGGTCTCTGTCAATTTTGAACTGTGGGTCTTTGATTGATAATAGGATGCCATCATTAGTAGATGGCTCAGGAACACACAAACTACACTGCCTGTGCTGGCAGCACTGACTGAACTGTCTTACCCAAACATGGAAAACAGGGGCTTGCTAATGGCACCCTTTTCTTCTTTCTTTTCTTTTTTATTTTTTTGCCTCTTCTCCCCTGCCTCATCCAGTACAAGGAACACATTAAACTACCATCAGGCAACAGGACTTATTACACTGGACACATCACCCAATAGGTAACACCAATAACTCCTTCACCATAGAGTCAATAACAGATGGTGGGCAACACCTGCTCCAAATTTCCTTCACAATGAACAGAGACCTGCACCCACATCCCCACCAGTGATTCTACCAACACAGAGAGAGCTGGAGGGCAACCCAGTACAGCCAAGTTAATAACCAAAAAAGTACACCTGCTCCACACTTTCAGTTATAGTAAAACATAAAATCACAGTGAAACAAATCAATACATAGCTAACAATTAAAGTCAAAAACTTCAAAATGTCTAGGAAATAACAGACAACTTCAAATCAAACAAACAAAAAAAAAAAAAAAAAACAGGACAAGACAATAGAAATAAAAAACCAGGCTAAAGAGTTATCTGTCATGGAAGAATAACAAGCAATAGAACTATCTGAGAAGGAATTCAGAAGGTATATATATAGACTCTCCAAGAGTTCAAGGAAACCACAAAAGAATCAATGAGAAGACAGAGAGTACCCTGGAAGAATTCAGGAAAACCATTCAAGAACCATAACAAGATAAATGTACAATTAGAACTCACACAGAAACAGCAATTAGAAATCCAGAAGATGAACACTAAAATTACAGGGATAGACAACACACTGGAAGGACAAAAGATAGACTAGAACTGGCTGAAGAATGTATTTCCCAACTAGAAGATAAATCCCTTGATCCCAACCTGTATGAAGAAAGATCAGAATAAAGATTTAAGAGAAGAGAAATGAAGAAAACCTAAGAGTTATATGGGATGACATGAAAAGAAACAACCTACACTTCAATGGAATACTAGAACAAGAAGAGGCAAAAATTAATTAATTAATTAAAATAACACTGGGAAAATTGTGCAAGACTTACTAACAGAATATTTCTCCATAATCATGAAAGAAGAAAAGAATCTGTCCAAGAAGTTCAAACCCATACAGGATAGATTCCAAGAGAATGTCACCAAGTCATAGCATAATCAAACTCTCCAAAACCAAAGACAAAGAAAGAATCTTGGGAGCAGCTCAGGAAAAAATGAAATGTCACCTATAAAGTGCAACCAATAAGACTAAGCTCTGATTTCTCAGTAGAAACCGTGCAGGCAAGAAGCCAATGGAATGCCATATATAAAACACTGAAAGAAAAGAACTTCCAACCAAGAATTATATATCCAGCCAAACTGTCCCTCAAATGTGAGAGTGAAATCAAGACATTCTCAGACAAACAGAAATTAAGGGAACTTGTGAAAACCAGACCAACCCTACAAGAACTGCTAAAGGTAGTCCTTCCAATAGAGAACCCACAACAGAGAACAACAAATTAAAATCAATACACATGACATCACTACTTAGAAACCAAACCACAAATAGATGCTCAAAATAAGCTCATAAAATAATGTACACAGAGAAATAAGGGAGCCGGTCTGCAGATGGCACCAGCAACAAAGCAAATAGAGGGAAAAAAAGTTTTAATTACAAAACTTCTAAATGGAGAGGAAGACAGGACAATGTCTTTGCAGAACTGACTGTTCCAAACTTAAGGAGATAAGAATTTATTTCAGGATAACCTATAAAATTAGAACCTATAAAAAGAGAAGAAATACTTGATAACAAAATGACCTCAGCATAGAAAAATATTTGGAACAAGGAAATCACCAATAACACAACAAAAAACACAATAAAATGACAGCAATAAATTCATTCCTCTCACTAATCACATTCAATATGAATGGACTAAATGCTCCAGTCAAGAGAAAGAGAGTGGTAGATTGGATAATAAAAGACGACCCGTCAATATGCTGCCTACAAGAGACCCACCTTAGATACAAAGTTAAAAACAAATTAAAAATTAAGTGGTGGGAAAAAAAATATACCAAGATAATGGCAACCAAAAAAGAGCAGGAGTGGCAATATTAATTTCTGGTAAAATAGAGGTCAAGGTGAAAAACATCATAAAGGCAAAGAATGACATTATAAGATGTTACAAGTATCAACTGACCAAGAAGATATCACCATAATTAATATCTAGGAAACCACAGAAGGACAAATATCGTATGAGCCCATTATTGTAAAAAGTCAAGGAGAGGTTTACTTAGGGAAGGAAACTCACTTTGTAGGTTACCAGGGATGGGAGAGAAGGGGAGGGAAAATTTCGAACTAGTTGGGGGGGTCACATGTTGATATGGGTGAGGAGAGGGATGGTATGGAAAGAGTCTGTGACCAGCATCATGACATTGGGGAAAGGAAGGACACTGAAACATGCATATAGGATATAGACAACAGAAGCAAATACTAGTATATGCACAATACTGCATTACCACTAACACCAAACACAAGGCTACAGATAGATATACACATAGATAAGTGAGAAGATCAGGTGGGGGGTGGCAAACAAGAATATACTCCAGACCAAGGATAGATTTGGCTGAAGATAATCTTACATATGCACTTGTGCTACAAAATTAGCCACATGCATTACAGAAGCAACAGAAAACAGAGCTGGAGTAACCTCTCAGAGACAACCAAACACCTTGAGAAAGTGAATCACTGGGCCTGCCGACTTGGGACCATAGTCTTGGCAGACACCAAGCTCAGTTGGCACAACATAAACTCACTGCCATTGAGTTGCTTCTGATTCATAGTGACCCCCATTGGGTTTCTGAGGCTGTAAATCTTCACAGAAGTAGATCGCCCTAGTCTTCCTTCCGCAGAGCAGCTGGTGACCTTCCAGTTAGCAGTCAAGTACCTTATCCACTATGCTACCAGAATTTCTTTGGCACAACATAGTACATAAAATTCTTGCTCCACAACCTACTTTGGTGAGTAGCAACTGGAGTCTTAAAAGCTTCCAAGCAGCCATCTAAGATGCAACTATTGGTCTCTCTCATCTGAAGCAAAGAAGAGTGAAGAAAATCAAAGATACTTGGAAACAATTAGTCCAAGGATATCATAGACCCTGAGACCAGGAGAACTAGATGGTGCCCAGCTACCAAAGACAACCACTTGGAAATGGATCAAAACTGGAGATCCTGGATAGAGTGGGAGGAAAAATGTGGAACAAATCTGAAAAACACAAAAATGACCAGAATTACTGGTCAGATAGAGTTTGGTGGAACCCCAAGACTATGGCCCCCAGTTACCCTTGGGGCCAAAACTGGACTCACTCCCATGGATTGACTCTCAGCACAACAGTAGAAAGACCTAATTTAGAACACCTACCCCAGGGTGATGCACCCACCTACTTTAGGGAGATAGACCCCTTAGAGCAATTGGTCATGGGGCACCAGAGGGGCAGCATTGACATAGAGAGGAAAGCTGGACAGACAGGAGTGCATAGCTAAGAAGGAAGGGCACAGGGAGGCAGTAGACACAGGGAAGGGAGGGGAGGAGAGTTTGTCAGTCAGGGATAGTAATCAGGACGTGAAATCAAATGGACACGAACTATTGAATGTGAAACATATTTTGCTCTGTAAATTTGCACCCAAAGCACAATAAAATTTAAATAAATAAATATTTTCTAAAATAATAAAATGATTGTAACACCGACACCTACACTGCTTTCCTTTTTCCTGCTGTGGTGAGAAGCAAATCCTCCTGTCGTCGCTGGTTTCCGTTTCATTTCTGAACTGGGAGCATTTGAGGAAGTCAGGCCAGGAGGAGTTCACCATCCCAAGGACTGATTCACAGCCCTCTTTTGCAGCCTCGCAGAAGGATCTACAGGGCAAGAGACCATGACTAGAAGAAAAAAGAAAAGAGAAAAATAATGTTTTTACAAATTTCTTCTCCAAGTAATAGTGAAATTAAGAAAAGTAAGCCATCAGTGTGTATTGTTACCTTAATTCATATTTACTATATTCAGTCCCTTAATGAAGGGTTTAGCCACTCTCTTATCTTCTTAAGATTCCTGGGTGGTATGAATGGTTTGCACTCACCACAGACCTAAAGGTTGGTGGTTGGAAACTACCCATTGGTGCCAAAGAAGAAAAGACTAGCAATCTGTTTCCATAAAATATTGTACTCAAGAAAACCCTGTGAAACAGTTCTACTTGCAACCCATGTGGTTGCCATGAGTCAAGTTTGGTTTTTGTTATTGTATCAATCCCACAGGGAATAAACTACTTCCAAAATATATAATCTAACTGTCTTTCATACAAGCTTTTGTGTCAAATGATTTTTTTAATGTCCCGTGTCGAAATCTATTTATCAACCAAAAAGAGTTCTATTTCCTATCAAAAAGACAAGCTAACAAGGCAATATGCCCCCAAATTAGATAGGTAAATGTAGGTCACAAAATAGGTTATTCTCATTTTTGTATCTTTCTTTGAGAAATTCAGTGTCTTGCCAATATCTCTGAGAGGCAGACAGAGAGAAAGTTATTCCTTAACTACCCCAGCCTTCCTGGGAAAGAAACATTATACAGAGCAGTGGCAACTCAGAAGACCTTGTACAACTACTTATCTTCTCATATGCCTTTTTTGTGTTCTGTAAAATAGAAAAATGCAAGTAACCAGCCATTAATGATAAGAGCAGTGATGCCTATGGAATTTGTCTTTATTCACCTGTCATGTAATTGTGAATCCATGGTTCTGTATATTGAGACTAAGATCCTAACAATGCCAAAGCCATGTATTTATTCTCTTGTGAACCCAGGTGGCTTTTTTCTACTTTATAGCTCTAGATTGTATCTCTCCCCCAACAAAGGCATTTCAAATGGTTTTAATGAAAATGAGAAAGATACATTAACAAATAAATGTACACACACACACACACACTGGTGTATATACATATATTTATTTATTTACTCCATATATATATATATATATATATATATAAATCACAGTGGCATGGCATCACTAAGTTTGGTTTCACTCAGTGGGGTAACTCATCATGTCACCACAACCCAATGGCCTCCTCTCATACCAGACTATACTAAACCAAACCAAACTCACTGCTGGCAAGTTGGATCTGACTCATAGCAACCCCTCCTTGAGTTTCTGAGGTATCACTATGGAAGTAGATTGCCCAATCTTCCTTCCAAGGAGTGGCTGGTGGGTTGGAACCACCAGCTTTCTGGTTAGCAGTCAAATGCCTTAGGCACTATGCCACCAGAATTCCTCTCAAACTATACAGAATCTTAATGTTTAGTATCAAGTTTAATCATAGAATAATATGTGATAAATACAGTTGTATATTGCTTAAATGTAATATTCCTTAGATTATATGAATACTAACAAAATCATTCTATAAATCCTTTGTACATTGAACTACAATATTATTAGTTACATTATTAGAAATTGAGCGGAAGGTTTTTGTTTTTTTCTTTTCTGTTAATTACTACTTTATTCTTTAAAAAGTTATTAATATAGGTTCACAAATATTAATTAGCACAATATTGTACCTAAAACACCAGAAAATTTGACAAAATCAGCGACTATAAAAATATTGGCAGCAACGAAAACAATAGCTCATGCTTCTAGTGGATGGAGATGAAACCATTTCATTGGAAGGATTCTTGTAATTGGGTAATAACAACAGCTCTGACCGGAGCACATTAGAAGGTTCAAGAAGTAATTTATCATAGTGTTTTAGCCTTGTAGGTATATCGATAAATGTAAGCTGAGCTTATAAAAAAAAAAGTTTGCTAATATAACTAACTGCAGGGAAATTTTTATAAAAAATAAATAAATTTTATAAAAAATAATAAATTTCTGAGACACATTGCATAGTCATTTAACTATCATGCCCTCTGACAATGTTACCTGATGCAATCCACAACCCCTCCACCTCCCTAGTGATGCCACTGATATATCAGTGAAATCAAAGCCCACACATTACAAATGTTGTTCTTGTTAGGTGCAGTTAAGTCGTTTCCAACTCATAGCTACCCTATGCACAGCTGAATGAAACACCGCCTGATCCCATGCCAGCTCCATGATCCTTGCTATACTTGAGCCTATAGTCGCAGGCACTATGTCACTCCATCTCGTTGAAGGCCTTCCCCTCTTTCATTGACCTTCTACCTTACCAAGCATGACATCCTTCTCCAGGGAATGGTCCCTTCTGACAATATGACCAAAGTAGGTGAGACGAAGTCTGGCCATTCTT